ATAAGGACAACTAAAGGAGGGCCATCCATGAATGATCACAAGAGAACAGCCCAGAGATAGCAGTATTTTACCACTCCGGTGAAAATTCAGAGCACTCTCAGTATAGATCCAATTAATGGCAACAGCACACTCCACAACAGCACACTCCACGCACTGGCTGATGGGCACTATCCTCCCCGCCCTCATTTACCCTGAATTGCTCCATTCTTCGAAATTCGGGCCCATTCAGATCAAGATATCAACCGTGGTGTGGATTTACCAGGAAGTCTGCCCCTGAACACGAATATCAGCCTAACTTGAGAATGCCTCGCTCGAACGTTCAAGCGCCGGTGAGGCAGCTTAGTGCCATCGCCACTTGCTAGCGTATTCGTCCTTAGGGGGTCAAAGTATATTGGGTATATTTTTCAGCAAATTTGAGGCCTTGCCGTGCATTACCGTCAGCGGCCGTGGCGCGGGGCCCGGCGCATGCAGTACTTGTATCATTTCGCTGTGAATAAAAGGGCTTGCCGGGCGGGATGGGTTTGGGGGTGGCGCCAAACCAGTTTTCTACCAACTGTTGAAGCGAGCAAGCAACAATAGCAACGTATCGCTCGTATCTGTCGTTCCCCACCAATTACTGTTAATTACCCGCTTCAGCAACTGGGGAATGGGTAGGCGCCGCGCCACACCCATGCAGTCTGACACGCCCCTCATACCCAGCGAACAAGAGTACATAAGCTTCCACAGTGACTATTTCAAAATAAGACCTCGGTCAAATCCAGTTCCCAAGCAAGATTTTGATGAGAATCTGAGGCAAATTTTGAGAATTGGGACTGCAAATGGTAAAGACTGCTGGCCAGTGTCAATGAAAAATAAAGCGTCTTCAGCAATAATTTTTTGACTTTAAATGTTAGTTATATTACCATAGAACACTTACCCAAAACCCTTTCTTTGTTAACGGCGGATTCTCTTCATCATTCTCTACTGACATTTTATCTGAATTTCCCATCAATTCCATAAAAGTAGTAAACAAAAGAGAGAGAAGAGTTATGTTCACGATAAGACCCATCATGACAGTACAATATGAAAAAAGAAGAAAAACTTTATGCAAATAGGTTTTTAAAGGGAACTAGTAAACCATTTAATCATACCAAAACCATTCACTGGAACCAATAAATGAATTTCCTGCCAACGATTAGATAGGGAACACGATCAGCGAAAAAAAATAAGAAAAAGAAAAACAAAGCAATATTGCGCCATTGATGAAGCTGAGCTTGAACAGTACCGTGCTATTTAGAGAAGGATTTATGAAAGGAGCAGAGCATGTTGCGTAAAACGCTTAGCAGCACCCTCGAAAGCACCTAAATCCTAAATATGAAAATTTAAACAAAAAGAAAAACAAAACTTCCCTATGCAGTACATATATAATACACTCACAGAAAACACTAGAGCACATGTAAAAAAGGCATCATATTTTACTAAAAGCTGAAAAAAATCATGCGCACAAGAATAAACATCGCTACGTGTTCAAAAAAATGCACATAGACGCAGCGTGAATAACCCCGAATCTTTAGACATTACAATATAGAACAAATACAGTAAGCAATTGAGACACTACTCATTTACAAGGAACCATAACGCTACCATTTGTCACTCTAACTAGACCGGATTTGTAAGTATTGCGTAAACTAGATCAATGAGCAACATTTATGAGATGTAAAGGCAAACATGAAGGGCGAGTCCTACCAGTCAAAACGCGAGTATAATTGCTTCAAACTCTGCATTAAGCGAGATTAGCAATTGATCAATCTTCAGTCAAGAAGCATTTCACTGGTCCCACTTTTTATGAGGAATAATGTTACAGGCCCAGTTAATTTAAAAGCTTACTTAAAGGCAGTGGGCACGATCGCTGAGAGAGCGATGTCGCCAACGTCATTGGTGGAAGGGTTGGGTGGGGCGGGGCTGAACGTCCTTTCGCAGCTTCACCACCAATGACAGCGGCAATATTGTGCCCGCTGCCTTTAACCAATGAAACGAGAATTCAAAATTTGGCACCAGCACATAGTTTTTAGCACTGAGCTGAGAAAACTGCCCATAGCGCATGCTATTCTCGCCTAATTAAAGAAAAAAATGAACGATTTTTCCGTGAACCTGATCAAAGTTAGCTCACTCTCAACAAAAAAAAAGAAATGAAAAAGGAAAACAAGTCAACCGCTTTGGGAATGGAAGTGCGACATGCTAACCAAATAATTAATTTAAAGAGAAAAATCAGTCAGTTTTCACATTACTAATGAGAAATCAAAATTAGAGAAGAGTTGCTGATCTGCTTCCGTGATGATATGCTTATCTTTTGCGGATGAGAAACGTGGTTTCTCTTTGGTGAACTCGTCGTCGAAATTCGATACATCTTCAGGATTTTTCTAGAAAAGAAAAATCGACTTTTTCAGAGAAAACCGCAGATGCACGGTCTGCTTCCCATCATGGATATGGAGTGGGCGTGGCCGCGCGCTACAGTGGAACAGCTCTACAAGGTGTTGCTCGTGGGAGGTTCATATATGAGACAATTATTATCTTGCCTTGTGCTGAACAACAAGATGAATTACAACTGTCCCAAAACAAAATATATCCCACCAGAGGCGCAGCGGTCACCATAAAGGACGTGCGCTGCCACGCCCACCTCATTTCTAGGATATCGAGTGTACGCGCTGTGAATATGCGCATAAAATGGACGAAAAAATTGACAAAACGTACGATTTGAGGAATAAATTTGGGTGTAATCTCCTTGCGAAGAAGTCGATCCCACTGCCAATCAATATGCTGAAAACTCAGTTAATTATACGATTTGTGTGAAATCTTGTCTTCTAATTCTTTGTTTCTCAAATCAAAGTGCCAATTCACTCATTCATTTTACTAAAAGAACGGAGAGTAGATTAAGAACATTAATAAGGCTTACTTTGAAGAAACGCTGCATTTTTACTTCTTCAGCATCCTTCTCTCCTGCACCCAATCTCTTATCAGGATTCTTCCTCATCAGCTGAAAAAAAGGTAAATTTATAGCGGCTAGAGTACCACAAAACACTATTTTAGTTGAGATCACCGATCAGGGCCTTTTTAGGACCTTAAAAAATTTTCTTTTCGTGACTTGACGTTTGCAGCCTTGCTCTCTGCGGATGAGGGACGTATCAGACGGGAGGAGCTTGGCGTGGTGCCAAGCACGTTTTCCAGCAGTTGTTGAAGCGAGCAAGCGCGACTGTAGTTTGTCCGTCGTTTTTCACCAAGAGAAGGGGCTCAGCGTCGCGTCCGACCCATCCTACCTGACACGCCTCTTCATCCGCAGCGAACAAGACTGCAAACACAAATAAGACACTGGTTCACTGCAAAAAGACCTGGTTGTGGCGCGAAAACAGTTCACATAGTTTCTTTGGAAACCCGCGACAGAGGTAGCATGACTGAGCATTTTCGTGCCAAAGTAATGCGCTTTTCGTGCCCAGCGGGTCCAAGCAGCCCCTGAAGACAAGTTTCTGATCAGTTCTACTCCAATAAAAACTTTGATCCCCAACAAATACCCTCAACCTCAAGTACCGATCTTGTTAAGGATAAACAGTAACAGAAAACTATTCTAAAGTAAAGATTCTAACATACTCGACGCATAATCGAAATACTTTCGATAGAGAGGAATCTTGGGTATCGAACTTCGTCATTTACGATGCTATCAAAAATCTCTTCCTCGTCATCACCACTGAAAGGTGGCTCACCGACCTGAAAAAAATTGGTGATATACCGTTTTCAAATTTTTTTATGATCTTTAGATGTGCCTAATAGAGATAGAAGTTGTAAGCAAAAAGGTTAAAGAAAGAATTCTGACCAGCATTTCAAAAATCAACACGCCCAAGCCCCACCAATCGATGGCTCGCGTGTACGATGATTCAGTCAAAACCTCCGCTGAAACAATAAATAGAATTCAATCATATAATTACATGCTAAATCCAACTAGAGTACTGTTACTAACGAGCTAAAAATTCAGGTGTTCCACAGAAGGTGCTTGTCTTATCCGAAGGACCCATTCCTTCTTTACACAAACCGAAATCTGCCAATTTTACAAAACCGTCTTTATCCAGTAGCAGGTTGTCCAGCTTGAGATCTCTGAAAGATAGCACTCAGCACTGCAGTACCAATTTTGCTCACTTTCTTTTTTGAAGGGGGGGGGGTCGAGCCAGCACAGCCAGAAGATTATAAGCTCAGGAAAACTGGCGATATACAGTACCCCGAAAACTGTGCGTGAAATCAAATATATATCCTAACCGTGAGTGCACACTACTGGGCATACCGTAAGCCGATTTAAATACCCTCCGCTTTTACCCAGTTAGGGTCGCGTAAGCTGAGTGGTGATGTGGGCACTCACTGCACCTGCGCACTCATTTTACTCGCAGTTTGGGGTACTGCAAGCCGCCTCTTTTCGTGTACTTATAATTAAGTGGTTAAGTGGCAGAGCCAGCCTATCCTGGGTTAATTTTGGCCTCTACCCCCCCCCAATACCAATTCCGCTCATCAAAACTCGACCCCTCAGACCCGTGACACAGTCGATCGAAGGTGTGAACGGGTGTGCGTCATGTGCTGGGGCATTCACCACCCGTCTTACCAAACCATACAATTATGAATGACCCAGTAATAACGCAGCATTTACAGCTTTTTCTCCGCAGAAAGGTGAAAAACGCTCCCTCCCTCACTATTTAGGGAGGTCGCCTACTCATGGAAGGCGACTTCACTAAATGGTGATTGACGCATAAACCTGTTCAGAACTGCTGGTGGAAGTGAAAAGCACGAAAACAGCGACGCGACCAAAACAAAAGAGTTATCGCAATACCTGTAAATGATGTTGTTCTTATGTAGGAACTCTAGACCCAGAAGAACACAAGCCGCATTGAAACAACTCCTTTCTTCACTGAAGATGTCGTCATGAATGTGTCGCATTAGGTCACCACCCATGCTAAAATAATCATTTAATAACATTTCACATTTAATAAACAAATTAACATTTAATAATCATTTCATTTAACAAAAGCAAGTTCAAAATATAGGAAAGAATTGAAGAAAATACTAAGAAAACAGATTCACACACCTGTACTCCATAACGAAAAATACATGTTCCGCCGTTTGGAAGCAACCGAAAAGGTTCACGAGGAATGGATGGCGTGCGCGGGAGGCAACCTTAAATATATTCCTCAATTTATGCAGCACGATCCAAATACCGTAGATACTAATTTAATTACTAGTAAAAAATAACCAAAACCGATGACAAACCCCAGATAAGAACCAAGCAATAGACGAACAATCGGAGAAGAGTGACTGTTGCGCGGATGAGAGAACAGAGGCAAAAGACGCAAGAGCACAAAAATCAGCGAGATCAGCGTCACACAGATATATAGTTGGGCCCAGAAATAAACGCTACATGACATTCCGCGCTTATAGTTACAAGACTGCTGGCATAGCTCCGCCTCAGAGGGGTGGGGCATCTCTGCGGGTTTATTCCTTAGGCTCGCTAAAAAGAAGGGAAACAAACGAAATTGTTAATAACCACTCCAAAACACGGATTCACTCGACCTATGGCTGGCATTTGCTATAGTCAAATCATCCGCAGACTGATGACATTCACAGCGCTCTCTCACTGAAGCAGCAATAGACAACCCGGGATTGAGGACTTAACTACTAGTACGAACGATAGGATACGGAAGGATTGTAGGAACAAGGTGATAGCGAAACTTGTCTTTGACGGAAATAGCTTCATAATTCTTGCAATGATTTCTGCCAAGCGCGGTAGGGACAGATTTGGACCTCTTGATCGCCTTTAGATACGCTTCGCGGAAGGCGACAACCCATCCCAACTAGGGCTACTTCAAGGGAGGACACACTTATGTCACAGTTTAGCGCCCCAACCGTCCCCCAAACTTTCTAGTAAGAGCCTCAGAAAGTGTACTGAAAAATTTTCAAAAATCACGGCATACGGCAGA